AGAGGGGCTCCTGGAGTGTTCCCTGTACTGTCTCCGCGGGGGAGTAGGGTGTCGAACTTCTTCGACCCGAGGAAGTGGAGATGGTGGCCTTTGATGCCTCCTCGGGGGGCGTCGATCATTTTCCAGCGCCCTAAGTCTTTCTCCTTGCGCGAACAGGAGATAGTTCGTCTGGTTGATGGCCGCGAACAGTGCCTGAGCTGTGGCATCTGCCCCGGCAGGGGCTTGGACTTCATAGAACCGGGCAGCCTGGCGATAGGCGAGAGCTTCCGGATCGTCTTCGAGTTCTGGGGGAGTTGTCGAGGAGGACGCAGTGTGACCGTCCCTGCGGGTGGAAGGTCCAGGGGCGGTTGTCAGGGGGCCGGCATTGTGGCCGGCACCACTGGGATTGTCCAGGTGCCCATTCTTGTCCGCGGGACCGTTGTTGGCGTCGACGACGCGAGTGTGTTGTTCTTCACGAGTTGGAGAGGCCATGACAGTGAATGGATTGAGCTTTGGTCTTTGAAAACTGTTCGTTAGACGGGGAAGCTGTTTCCCACAGACGGCGCCACTGATCTGACCTGATCAGAAGGTTTGGACCGTCACGGCTGCTCCGAGCTGAAGGCTTTTAGAACGAGGAGGGGGGGGTACCTGCAAGGCACTCCGATGCTTAAGTCAGTGGGAGTACTAGCAGATAATAGAGTTGAGGTTAGAATTGATGATTACCTGACCCTCTGGAAACAGAGGGTATTTATAGCCCCCAGCGCTGGGCCAAGGTTCCTTCATTGGGCCGGGCGAATTTGGCCCAATGGAGGAACTGCCAGGTTCTACGTGGGTAGTGGGGATCAGCACGTGGTCCCCTTCCTGGAGGTGCTGCGTGAAGTGCGGGCGGACAGAGACGCGGTCTTCACGGAGTATCGTTGGGGCAATAGAGGACCAAGTCTGCCCTAGCAAGGTAGCTCGAGTCCATGTCGAGCAGTGCAGCATGGTGTCGACCTCGACGCCAAGACCCCGAGCTGGACAGCAAATGTCGAGCTGGAAGCCAGGGCATAGAGCTGGACGGCAGTCTGTCGAGCGTGACTTCGTAGCGCGGGCTGGACACTGAGATGTCGAGGTGGACCTCAGGGTGTCGGGCATGGACGTTGTGGTCCTTAGTGAGTCCCATTGGATTGGGCCTTTGCCCATTGTGGTCCTTGGTGAGTCCCATTGGACTGGGCCTTAGTAATGCTTTTGGGCATGTCGGGCCCAGTCCAGAACACTTTGCATATGTTATCAAAAAAATTCATCAAACTTTGGAGCACTTAAGTTTTATATAATTGTGAATTGTTTATTGGAAAGGGAAAATCAAATTTTTGAATTTCGAAAAGTTCCCAAAATCATTGTTACTCAAAGTATCTTTTTATCATATTGTTGTAACTTGTTCACCAAGGTGTGGTGACAAGAAGGTTTAGAAGAATATGGTGTTCTTTCTTTAAGTGTTATGAAAAAGAATGTGGTGTGCTTTTTTGCTTTAGTTAGAAGATTTTAAGAGTGTCTTAGTGTGAGACTTGTACAAAGATCTAACATAGTGGAAAATATTCCAAAGTCTGAAGGGACTAGATATACCCTTGATTATAATGGAAAATAGTATATATTCTTGTGTTATTTACATTCTTGCTATTATTTTTTTGCACTTTTCTTTCAAATTTCAACATAATTCTAGACAAAAAGGGAAGAACATTTGCATAAAATCAATAAAAATATATACAACTTAAATCATCATCCCTCTTAGTTTGCAATATCTAGTTACAACAAATCTAATTAAATATGAGTCTAATATGAATAAGAATCTCAATCTAGTTGAAAATGGATTCAGAATAAATCATTAATGAGTCTCTCGCCCAGGAGCCAACACTCTTGTTAGGGAAACTCATAACCAGGGTAAAATGTTACATAAAAGGCAAGGAAAGCAATGATGATAAGAAGGTGTGAGACGTTAAGGAGCATGTTCCCAATGTCTATGGCTCACACTACAAGAAGAAAAGTAATTATACCTCCCCATAAAAAACAAGATTGTGTTCAAGAGAGAATGCTAGAGGGCGAAGACCATCACAAATCTGAAGATGAAGGTGAGCCATAGGTGCCAAAAACCATGATCGCCTTCTTTGAGAAAGATGTAACTAACATCCATCTTCACAATGATGACCCCATGGTTATTACCATCAAATGAGATGGATGGGAGATCAAAATATTCCCCGTAGACCAAGGAAGTTCTGAAGATATTCTATATTAATAGGAAATTGAAAGACTCTGCCTCAAACCAGAGGAAATAAAATCCTTCAAGTGCTCGCGAAAAAAACTGGAAAAATCATCAAAGATAAAACTCAATGAAGTTGCCATCGAATGTTTTTTATCCCGCCGAAAGGGAAAGGTAAACTTTAAGTAAACCTGAAGGGGTGAAATCACGGTCTTGCGACCATAGAGATCGGGTAATGAAGTCAGTTACACGAGGAGGAGGTATTAGCACCCCACACATGTGTGGTACTCCACAAGATCCACTTATGTTTGTTTTATGTCTAAGGATGTATAAAATCTATGTCTAAAGCTTAAGGGCTAAAAAGAAAGATGCAAAGGGGGAATGCATGCAAAAGAGAAAACACGGAGAAAAGAAGGAAAGATTACAAAGTTCGCTCGATTGAGCCCCGTGACCAGATGCCTACGTATCCCTTTTAAGGAATTAAAGCGTTGTAGTTCGGCTCATAAGTTTATGTTTGTTTTGTATTTTTTTAATGAACAATATTAATTTCTCCTTCTTCCACAACTCGGCCTTTGGAGATTCACGCATCAGCACCAAGGTGAATTAACATGTTATTTTGAAAGTTTTGAAAGAAAGGGCCCGAAGGAGAAAAATAATTTGCATTGGTTGGTGTATTTTTTGTTGCAGATATTAGCTAGTTGATCTTAAGAGAGAGATATTAGCCACTTCTCCACTTATCCATGAAAGTAGTCTTTGAGACTTGAACCACACCAAAGCCTAGAATGGAAGAACAATAAGATCGAGAAGAAACCCGCTTATCAACTCCCATACTCAACAAAGGTATGATTCTCATTAATAATTTTTAGGTGTTTTGAAGTTTGAAAGAAAAAGAAGTTTTTTGTTTTAATGAGATGCAAAGGAAGAAAGAAAAGTCTAAGGGGAGACTAGAAAATAGCCCTAAAGTTATCATGCATTGTTGATTCTTTAGTTGAGGATAAGAGAGGGGGACATCTACCTAATGTTGGCATACATAGATACAAGCCTAAGGTATATTCAATTCAAACTTAGAAAAGAGTGATTTGAAGATCCTATGGGGAGCAAACAAGAGGAGAGTCTAATAAAGATAGGAGAAGGGATGGAAAAACATCACACAGAGAGATGACGAGACATCAAGAAGCATGTACCCAAGTATAGATGACAAAACATCTAGTATGGATGGAAAAACATCACGCAAAGGTGTAATGATAAAACATCATGCATGCATCAAGATGGCATGTATCAAGTAGCAATGGAAAGATGTCAAAACATCAAAATGAAGATGACAATACATCAAGCACACACAACATTTATGTGAGAAAACACATGCAAGAGATGAAACTCAAACAAATGATAAGACAAAACTTGCATCGAGAAAGAAACAAGTGAATCCTACGGGAACATGCAAATGTACCAAAGTTTTTATCTCAATTATAATTGAGTGACATCATCGGTCGGCAACAAAGAAAAATGATGAAATCCTAAGGGAGCCTGTAATGATCGAAGTCATTATCTTAATTCTAATTGAGTGACATCATCGATCAACAAAAGAATAAAGCCATGAAATCCTAAGGGAAAGGCAAAGATCAAAGTCGTTTTCTCAATCGAGTGACATCATCGATCATCAACCAAAGGAGGCAAACACAAGCACAAACACAAGGAGAAAATAAGTGCAGAATGCCTACTATAGGTCTTTAAACAGCGACTTTGAGCGCACGCTCTTTATTCCCTACTTCTCACGATATCTAGAAAAGCAGTAACGTGCGGAAAAGATAAACTCAAAATCAGAATGATACCAAATGAAAAAAAGTTCGTAGTACGACAAGCAAAGCAGAGAAATCCGGAAAACTTCATGCAAGCTAACATCAACATCAAGAGAATAGCTAGAAAGTGGCAATGTGAAAATAAATCACATGTGCAATGCATGCATCGGAAGCATCCGCATCACAGATAGTATACATGCACAAGAATTCACAATCCAGACAAAAACACAAACAATGTATATTTCTCATATAATGAGAATCAAGATAAATTGCGTCGGGAGCGAATCTCAAATCCACAAAGAAAATGAAATACAAATACTTTTCAATCGAAATAAACAATCGAAAGCTCTCTTGAAACGCCTTGCACATGTCAACAAATGAGTTAGAAATAACAAAGAAATGTTAATTGAAGTTAAGCATCTATATCACATATTAATTTCTAAAATCAATTAAAAATCTAACAAGTTTTTATTGATTTTATAATTTTTTATCATAAAAAAATAATAGAAAAAATTAACAAAAGGAAAAGTCCTAAACCTAATATTTTTCAATGTTTTTATTAACAAAATTTTTATTCAACAATTGTATAAAAAAACTAAAGAAAATCTAAAACAATTATATAAGGGGGGTTGCTAACTAGATCCAGGGGGTGTTGAAGCAGTCTGGGCACTAGGCCCATTGCGGTGGGTCCAACAAAGAGTTTTGTAACACAATCTAACTAACTGTCAACAAAAAAAAACTAGCGAATGGGCTTAGTAAGGATGTGCAGCCAAAAGCCCAACGAAAACAATAGTCCACCACACCTCAATCCAATTCCATTCTCAAATTATTTTATTCAGTTTTTATTATTATTACTTAATAGACAAATTAAAAAAAAGAAAGAGGAATTTAGGGTTAAAATTGGGTGAAACGGTTGAACTTCTTCGTCTTCTCTCATCAGCGGCGTGGCGGCTTCATCTCTCCTCTTGCAACGGTGATCTCCTCCTTCGATGTCTCCATCTCAAAGCTTCGCCTTATTGCTACGATTTCGTCCAACCTGGATCTCCTCCGTTAGACGCCAACTCACATTTCCATCTCACTCTCCTCCGTGTTGTAGCCATTGTGATGCTGTGAGGTTTGTTGATGATGAAGTCTGTGTTGGCATTGTTGCACGTGAATCAGTTGCAGTTTTGTTCATGAGTTGATTGTAGTGCGATGAACGAAGCAGTGAAGTAGATGATGCATTCTGAGATGAAGAAAATCGTGATGTTGTTGTTGCTTGCAATGATGATGAAGATTCAGGAAGATTGAAGAAGTTGCAGTGGCGTGATGAATGTTGTTGAAGATTGATGCGAAGATGATGAAGGTTTGAGGAGGATGAAGCAGTTGCAGAGAGAATCTTTGGTTGGAGATTGAAGAAGAAAGCATAGAGAAGATAAGAGCTCTTTTTGGTGATTCTTCCAACAATTGAAGAATGATCAATTGAAAGGTATCAACTATGTTTTATATTTCGGTTAGAGTTTGTTAGGAACGAATCAATATGAGCGGTTAGATTAAGAGAGTTAGTTAGAGATTCGGATGGTTGAGATGAGATATTAGAATGTTAGTTAAATTGCAAAAATTCTGAATTGTTGAGCTGTCTTTTGTTGAACTAATTTTCTGATAAAAATCGTTCTCTGCCTTTTTCTGATTTTACTTCTGAATTCATTTTTTTTCCGAACTAATGGACGTATATTATGAATCGTAACTGTATTTGTTGGGGTTTTCAGTGCAGGGAAGGTTTGTTGATAAGCATCCTAAATTCGAAAGTTATTAAGTCCCGGTTTATTGGATGTTTGGATGCAGTAGCAAGTGTATGCAGGTCAACTGAGTGTTTTATTTGAAACTGGCTTTGCCTTGAATTGCTTTCAGTGCACACACGTAATTATTTTTTGGACAAGGCAAATGCAAGTGCAGGTCTGAGTTTCTTTATCCTTTGTTTCATGATAATTTCTTAGACGGATCATGTATATGTTGTAGGAAAATAAGTGTATGAACCCGGTACGAATTGAGTTGGTATTGGGATGATGATTCTGACCTTATATGTATTAATATTTCAGGTTTTAGAATGTTGACTGGACTGTTGTAGAAAGCCATCTACATGGCACATGGCTGTGGATTTATATGCTGGAATCAGTTCCATTTATTGAACTGTTTTGGACTTAGTTGGATGCTTGAACTAGTTTCTGCAGGGCTTGATACTTTGATGGTGTAAAGATGAAAGGAGAGGCTCACGGTGAAAGGCATTTTAAGGAATAACGGCAAGAGTGTGGTGATTTAATGGCCTAGAGTTGATTGAAGGCATTTGAAGATCAGAGTTCTTAGCATAAGCTTAGAACTTTTCAAGTATTTGCGCAATGTATTTTGTATGCTTTTTATGAATGACTTTCTTTTAGAGCATTTTGATTGTAATTTGGTTCTTTGTAATGATCATGAATGAAATGGTTTGAAACCTTTGAATGAAATTTGAAATGAATACTTGAATTTTGGATGATGAGAAATTGAATGGATTTTGAATAAAACTTTAGATGAATGAATAATCCTTGAATAAGTCTTGCTACTTGTTTCGAATGAACAAACCTTCCATCTTTAAAATATGAATCCATTTGATGAATTGAACCAAAATAATCATTTGGACGAGTTTCGATCGAAACTCTTGAGAACTTGAAGGAACTTGAATAAGCATGATGAATTTGAATCTCTTTATAATCTGGATGCCTTTTGCCTTGTGATCTGTAACTTATCTTTCAAGAAATCCACATGACCAATCTTAACATGTTTGCATCTTAGAAATATTGATCCAATTAATTAACTTGAACACATCTAAAAGCTCGAATGAATACTTTCACATAATGAGTTCAAATCAATTCTAACTTCTGAAGGAAACCAAAATTTCAAATCTGTTAACTTGCGTTACAAGCAACAATCAATTAAAAGGATAATGATGATGTTTAGAATTCATAAATTGTATCTTGTAACATAATGACTATGCCTTGAGGGATCCTTTGAAAATGAATATGGAACTTGAGATATGGGGAGAATAACGACCCAGACAACCTTAACATGTAAATCCAATGAACTCCAGTTAATGAATTATCATATTCAAATGCCACATATAAGAACCTTTGAGGAGATACCTTTGTAGTCTCAAAACTCCGTGGAAACCCTAGTTTGCACAACCACTGAACTCTTGAACCTCATGGTATTTAATTGAATGTGAATGTATGCTATGTAAATGACCTAATGGAATATATGCATATGATGATGAAATGTAAGCCAATTAGGGTAAGAATGAAAAGGGTAAATTTTGGGGTGCAAGACTCACTAATTGTATTTTCTAGGGAGTAGGTGCAAGTAAAAGGATACATCACTCTGAAGACCACCTTTGGAGAGCAGGATTCGGCCAAAGAAATTACGATCAGGTATATGGTTATTTATGCCCCCTCTTCTTACAATATGATTATAAGGCGTTCAACTATTAATCAGATGAGGGCCACCTTGTCCATTTTGTATTTATGCCTGAGATACCATCACTCTGATGGGCGAGTGGGAGTTATCCAAGGAGATAAGGAGATTATCATTATATGTTACGTAGAGAGCCTCAAGTTGAAAAGGGCCCACACTCTAGAGGCGAACACCGGGAAAGTGGGTTAGAGATAAAGCCGTCGGGAGATGTTGGCAAAGGCAAGGAGTCTCAAGAGAGGACCCCCTAAGAGGAAATTAAAATATTGGATCCCTAAGTTGGATTCTTGTCGCCCTATAAGGCGATCAAAATGATGGATCCCTAAATGGGATCCTTGCTATCCTAAGAGGCGATCAAAATGCTTGATGCCTAAGTGGGATCCTTGCCGTTCTAAGAGGAAATCAAAATACTGGATCACTAAGTGGGATCCTCGCCTCCCTAAAAGGAGATCATAATGCTAGATCTCTAAGGGAGATCTTTACCTCCCTAAGAGGTGATTAAAATGCAGGAACCCTAAGTGGGATCTTTGTCGCCCTAAAAGGCGATCAAACTGTTGGATCCCTAGGTGGGATCCTTGTCGCCCTAAGAGGCGATCATAATGTTGGATTCCTAAGTGGGATCCTTGTTTTCCTAAGAGGCAATCAAAATGTTGGATCCCTAAGTGGGATCCTTGTCTCCCTAAGAGACGATCAAAATGTTGGATCCTTAATTGGGATCCTTGTTGCCCTAAGATGCAATCAAAATGATGGATCCCAAAGTGGGATCCTTTCTTCCCTAAGAGATAATCAAAATGATGTATTTCTAATCAGGATCCTTGCTATCCTAAGAGACGATCAATATGTTAGATCCCTAAATGGGATCCTTGGCGGCGTAAGATGCGGTCTAAATGCTAGACCCCTAAGTGGGATCGTTACCTCCCTAAGAGGCAATTAAAATGTCTAATCCCAAAGTGGGATCCTTGCTTCCCTAAGAGGCAATCAAAATTTTGGATCCCTAAGTAGGGTCCTTGCTTCTCTAAGAGGCAATCAAAATATTGGATCTGTAAGTGGGTCCTTGATTTTCTAAGAGATGATCAAAATGCTGGATCCCTAAGTGGGATTCTTGCCACCATAAAATGCAATCAAAATGTTGGATCCTTAAGTGGGATCATTGCCAACTTAAGAGGCTATCAAATTGTTGGACCCCTACGAGAAACTCTTGCAGTCCTTAGAAGCAATCAAAGAACTGAACTCTCATAGGTGATCCTGACTATTCTCTTTTCAAGGGAAGTGATAGGTATAAGCTAAACCTCAGAAGAGTATAATGTTAAATTGTCCCACAATCAAGGGCCAAGAAACAATCATACGAAAATGGCTATGGAGAAAAATAACAATAAAGGCGATTAATATATATAAAAAAATCCTCGAGGGGCATTGTTTTCTTAAAGATTACATAAAGCCCCCGAAGGGGAAAATAAATATAACGAAAGGCCTCTATGGGATAAGAAACATTACAAGAAAACTAAAAGACATCAATTATCCTCTTGAATTTCATCCTTACTAATGGCATCCTCTGGCTGCGGGGCTTCAGACTCACATCATTTTGTCGCTACACCATCACCCTAGGTGTCAGCAGCGGGAGCATAAGCTTTAGGTTCTAGAGGGGCCACCACCACTTAATCCACTACCTGACCATCTCTGATAACTTTAAGGAAGTCCAATTTGCTCAGATCCATTATGTGATAGAAGAAGGAAACCTTCTCTTTTTTCCGCTCAAAGTAGATGGCAGAGGTTGACACCAACTCATCAGTAAGCTTTGACATCTCTAACTCAAACTTCTTTTTTGAACAGAGGGAGACATACAAATCTCCTGCAAAGACTTCTACTTAGTAGGGATCTATTCATCATTAGCCTTCACATCTTCTAACTTCTTATATCATATCTCTTTATCATTCTGCAAGGCCTTCAACAACCTCTGGCTCTCATTATAAACATCCACATACTTCTCGAGATTCTCCTCCATCTACTTCTTAGCCTTATCTCCCTTTTTCGGGTAGAAATCCTCCAACATTAAAGGCCTTAGCATAAGTCTATCCTTCATGCTTACGATTTAAGGAGTCTATTTAGATTGGAGGGCCTGGTAGTCATCAGGAAATTCGTTGGAGAAAGGCAAACGAGAGCTCAAGAATTAAAGAGTATCAATATCGACGTTACTCCACAAAGTAGGAGGATGGGGGATCCTTGCCTTCAGGTGGAATTTGAATTATCTCTTATCTAGGAAGAGGTAAGACAATACTAGCAGTTGGAGAAGATCCCTCTTCTAGCCACTTGGCCTTCATATTTGGATAATTAGGAGTTGGTTCCTCAACTTACCTTTTCCTCCCTTTGATTATAAAAACCTTTGGGTTACTCTGGGGGCGATCAGTCACTCCACAAGCAGTCTGTATTTTCTCCCATCTTTCCCCTTTTCCTCTATAAAAATCCTCACCATCTTATCTTCAAAAAATACACAAGGATCACATACGTTGTCTAAAAATAATCACAAAAGGAATAGGTTATCCAAATATTACCTAGGTGATTAGCGAGATGATTGTCACCCTTCAGCCATAGAGTAATTATTGTGCACGACTCCGTGACCTATTTTTCCTTAGGAAGCGGTATATCCTTGCCTCTTCAGGGGTAAGGTATTTACTGTCATACCCCACATTCGCCACAAGTTCGTCCATCAAGGCAAAGGTAAAAGGAGAGCATCATCATCCCCTACATTTCGAGAGAATCCTCTCGCTCTCTCACACGGGTGAACCTATATCTCCAATTTTTGTAGAGTTTAGAGTGAGACGTAAAAAGCGCCCTTCCCGGGAGACCTCATAAAGATACCCAACCTTCTTTCACATGTTTGGTAGTATAAAAGGAGGAAAAAATCCTACAGTAGAAGTAATCTTCAGGTCTTCATGTACCATCTCAAAATCCCTAATAAAACCCTAATTGTTAGGGAACATCTAAGAGGGTGTGATGTTGGGAACCCTCAGAACCTCTATGGAAATATGAGAAAGGGGGAAAAAACCTCATATCCTTGATAGATGTGAGGTATTAGTAAAAATTGAGGATGGAGGATCTGAGGAGACAAGAGTGATCACTCTCTCTGACGGTGAACAAGCCTCTATGATAACCATTTTTTCCTCTTTTGAGGAAGAATCCCCCACTTCTATTCGAAAAAGAAGATTCGTTAGTCAGAAGTATAATAAGGTCTAATGTCCTCAGCCTCCTTAGGCACGACAGAAGGGGAAACCATTATCTTTTTTGTTCCTGGGAAAACACAAGAATAAAAAGAAATCACCGCCACTGTCACAAACGACAAAGGGGGTGATTATAACCCTCAAATCCTACATCTCTACATTAACCTAAACCCTATTTCAAACATTTATTTATAATCCCTACTCACTACATAAGGAAGGGAGAGAAAAGGAGAAAAACATACTTGAGAAGGTTGTTAGTGAAGAATCAGGAGTATGTAAAGAAGAAATACAATTCAAAGGAACTTGTAGAGTTCGTGGAAGAAAAATAGAGCAATAAAGTGGAGGGAGAAACTTCTATAAGGAAGTCAAAACCACAAGGAACCTTTTAGGCTCCCCTAAAATTTAAAAAGCT